TGGTATTATTTGTTTGTTGTTTATCTAGTTAGCCTTGTGATTAGAATTTTTCCAGGTACGCTAGAGCGATGTTATTTATTTCCACAAATATGCTTGATCATCTCAAAATAAAACATTAACATATTTTTATTTTCGTTTTAATCTGATATGCTTTTCTTTAAACTCCTTTGTTACACAGTTCCAGCACCTAAGCACTTGACGCTCGAAAGACAGCTGAATAAAAGTGTGCTCATTGGCTGGTCACCACCAGAACCGGTTGGTTACAATCTCATTGATAGCTATCATGTCTACGTGGATGGCGTACTGAAAGTAACGGTAAAGGCAAACGAGCGAACACGAGCGCTCATCGAGGGTGTGGACTCGAATAGGGTAAGATATCCATTTAATACAGACAAATGTGAATTGATTCTGACTTTTTTCTCTCTTCTCGGCTCATAGCCGCATCGCATCAGCGTCCGTAGTGTTACACAAAATCGTCAGACATCACGTGATGCCGCTTGTACTATGATAATCGGACGCGATACCTCGCATTTGGGTCCATCAGCGGTACGCGCTTCACATATAACGTGTTCATCGGCTGTAATTTCATGGCTGCCGGCTAACTCTAATCATCAGCACGTGGTGTGCGTGAATAATGTTGAAGTGCGCACAGTGAAGCCAGGCGTCTATCGGCACACCATTACCGGGCTGGCCCCGAGCACACAATATCGGGTCACTGTACGCGCTAAGCACTTACGCGCACCAGGTGGACAACAAACACCAGGACGTCCGCAAGAAGAGGCACCGGGTGCGTATGCCGATTTCCGCACGTTGACTAAGGGTTTGCCCGATCCGCCACAGGTGAGTTTGTGCTACAGTATTTCCAGTTAAAATTTGTTCTGATAACTTTTCTTTTCTTTATAGGATATCCAACTTGAGGCTGGTCCTCAAGATGGTACCATTCTGGTGACATGGCAGCCGGTTAACCGGCCAACTTCTTCTGGCCCCGTAACCGGCTATGCTGTGTACGCCGATGGTAAAAAAGTGACGGACATTAATTCACCAACTGGGGATCATGCGCTCATCGATATCGGCAAATTGGGCGTATTTAACCCACGTGCGGTCACCATACGCACCAAATCGCGGGACGCACAATCGGCTGATAGTGCGCCGATACTAATACCAAGTAAGTAAATATTGAATTCAGACACCAATGGGCCTATGGAATTCGGTTTCGGCGATTTGCAGCCGTTACCATGTTAAAATCCCTAAGCTGATCTCACTTAAGAGGCCTTAACGGGGACAATGAATGACACTCTCTTGGCTCTTCTAGAGACTCATTTCCC